TGTGTGTTAATATTTATTTAAAATATGTTTTTACTGTAGATAACGTGGACTCGGCATTTCAAAGTATTTTAAGACGTAAGTTTTTTTTATTACAAAATTTGTATGGTATTTATCTTTTTTATTTTCTGTTAGCAAACAATATTTATCTTCAAGCGTTCTATAATTTAAACTTTTTTTATTGTGGACGCTCACTACTAAAGTGATTAATTATAGCCTAGGCTGTAAAAATAATTTAAACCAATGGGTAAAGTCTAAAAAAAAACACGTTTTTACCAATACAAAAAATTGACTACTGTCAGATCTCTCTAACCTCACTTCTACCTTTAATTTGATATTATTATAATTGTACGTTTTATGTTAAAAAATTATGCTTTGAAGATAAAAATGTTGCATGCCATGCGGCTGGGATGTCTTTTTGTGCTTCGCTCAATTGTAGGCTTCCGCTACTCACTCCTCAGCCTAATGACATAATTAATTTCACATATTATTTTCATTTTTATTCATTTATAGAATATCCTATAAACAACATGGACGATTCATATGACTATTCACAAAGAAGCAGTGGCAAGTATATTTTTACCAATAAAAAAATAAAATATTTAATATAACCTAAACTTTTTCAGCTAATCAGTATTACGACAACCATTACCGTAAATAAAATATGGACTTTTTAAGCATTCCCTTCTACTTAAAAATGTAACGTGTAACTTTTAAGTTAAAAGAATTAGAATTTTATATTTTGTACTTTGTCAACAAATTTATAGAATAAGAATCTCAAAACATAAAAGGGACTTTTACTAAAACCCAAGACGCTGTTCTACTTATAAATATCAATAGCAAAAACCGACTTTTTGTTAATACTTATTTTAAAATAAATTCATTTGTTTAATTTAGAAGGAAAAATAGATATATCAGAAAAAAACGACTTTTTGTTAATACTTATTTTAAAATAAATTAATTTGTTTAATTTACAAGGAAAAATAGATATACCAGAAAACAAAATAAATTAGAAATTAATTAAATTTCCACCTTTCCAGATCATAGTACTAATTACAAAAACACAAAAGTCTGTTAATAATTATTGTGAAACATATTATTTTATGCCTTCATATTTTAAAAGAAGATACCTAAATCAGTAAACGAAAGGAATTAAAACAATTATAAAAACAATAGTTATTTGTCTTACAAGTGTTGAAAAGCGACTTTTTCATGCAAGTTGCTCACGAGGTCGTTAGGCCGAGTGTGCATCAACACGAGCTTGAAGAAAGCTTTTCTCACATGTGAAACACAATATTTTTTCTACGACCAAAGGGTTATTATTTTCAAATACAAAACAAAATAACCTAAAAACGTGTTTGACAGCGGTTAAAATTACTTTCATCTTATTCTTTTAATTTTTAAGGTATAAGTTACTTAAAATCAATAAACTTACCTTCTCAATTTAAATAAAGGCACTAAAAATTAGAATTTAGTATACAAACACAATTAACTGTGTTCTAAATTATATTTAGACAAACATATACAAATACAATTCAAATTTTGAAACGAATGTCAAACGATGCTGTCAATTTCTTTTCACACAGACCTGTCACTTTTTACCCATAAATGTCACTTTTTACCCATAAATGTCACTTTTTACCCATAAATGTCACTTTTTACCCATAAATGTCACTTTTTACCCATAAATGTCACTTTACATTTGTGTTTTGCCTTGCCCACAATGAAAAGATTTATTTTCTAAGCAACAATGCCATTACGAAATGTGACTTTTACATAGTGGTCGTAGAAAAAAGTATTTAATATATTGTTCACTTAAAAGCAATCGCGGGTGCCACGTCAAATTACACTGGTCAACAGCTATTTTGCCACAACTTTTTAAGCTAATTTATGTGCGCTGATTTCAAAAATTACCATAATTTTGCTCAACTAGGGTATGTTTTCAATATATTGTAATCCTATTCGTGCTGAATGACCCATTTTCGGGACACCTTGTCGGCAATAAAACGATATTATAAATACATAGAAATAAATATGTAACAATTTATTTTTTTTATTTTAAATAGAAGTAGGTATACGTTATTTTTAGAAGTTTAAAAGCATTATTAGCTACATTTTAATTACTTAATACCTTTAACGTTTTGGCGATGTAGCAATGCATAACCAAGAAGTTTTACATTGGTAGTCTTTAACATCTTAAAGACGTCTAAATGACGTTTAGCAACGACTTAATATTGCCGTTAAAACGACATCTTAAAGACGATGTGTTTTGTAATATTAGATATCTTAATGACGTCTTAAAGATATCATAAACATCCGAGTCCGACATCTTTAAGATAACTTTAAGATGTCTCTGTGCTATCTGGGTAATAGGTACCTAACAACCAGTGGCACAACAACAGGGCCCAAGTCCAATTAATTGGCAGGCAACCATAAATAATTTATTATTTTATATATATACCTATATATATATTTGTAATCCATACAATTTAATTGTAACAATAAAGGCCCTACCAGAAATCCGTATTTGATTGATACCGAGCCGATCCTATGAAAATAAATAGCTACAATTTGTTTGTAGTATATTCGTTTTACTGTTTGGTCACTTTATAATTATTTTGTGATTGTGACAATAATGACACGGCACCGAAAGCTTATTTATTGCCTCGCACACAATCTAATTCCTTGGCAGTGAAATGTTGGTGCCTGGTCTATAATGTACTATTTTTAAATTATTTTTGTTTAGTGTCAAAAAATTATCACATTAAAAAAACCATAAAGTTTAAACCAATATCATGCAGTCCTTAGAGACATAATATATGTATCTAAAAGGAAACCCTAACAAACGGAAAATGGCTTACCACGTTTTAACAAATAGTTTTCGGGTTAATGAACATTTAAGTTTCAAAAACTTGGCAACGCTGAGTTTTTACTGTGCTGTGATTTTACATATCTAAGAGGGGTTGTTATGGAAACAAAATAAACAAGGCGTCTAGCAGCTATTTAAAGTTAACTGTTAACTAAGTATACTTAGTTGACAGATGTATTTTCTTTCTTAAAAAAAAACTCAAACTTTAAATCAACATAACTCTCCTAATTTTAACTAATTTTAACTTTTTATTTTTCAAGTCAATACAAAATTGTGTATAATTCATTTATAAAAAATATTCTTAAAAAAATCAAAGAAAGAAAATAAAATTCAATTCAATTTTATAACCCATTTGTTTGCGACTCACCCCTGTAAAATCTCCATTTATTGTGCGATTTTAACCGGATTTGTTTTAAACTGTAGATCTTGATAAATTGCATTTTTGAAGCAAAAAACGCCATATTTTTACTAAGTCAGTTTTTAAGAGTAAAATCTCACTGGATTCACCACCCCTCAAAACTACCCGATACAAAATTTTATTAAAAAATTTAAAAAAAATGCACTATAATAACTACAAAAATTTATTTTGTCAAGTTATCCTTGAAAAAAACATTGAAATAAAATGGTACTATTATTTATTTTTTATTTCAATGTTTTTTCATGGATAACATGACCAAATACATTTTTGTAGTTAATATTGTGCATTTTTTTTCTTAAAATGTTTAAATAAAATTTAGTATAGGGTCGTTTTGAGGGGTGGTGAAACCAGTGCCGTGCGTAGATTTTGTTTAAAAAAATCGCTTAGGTATATGAATTCTTAAAAATTTACTTTTAAAAACTGACATAGTAGGCGGTGTATTTTGTACTAATATGGCTTCTTTTGCTCCACAAATCCGGTTAAAATCGCACAATAAATAAAGATTTTACAGGAGTGAGTCGCAAACAAATGGGTCACACTGTATGTATATTTAAAATAAAAAATTGTACATTCTTAAAACTTACCTAAATTATATTGACAAATATTATATAAAAAAAACACCTGGGTAAGCATTTCTGGCGTGGGCCTGGTATTTTTCAAAGGTCAGAATTTTTTAACAATATTAATATACTATTAAATAAAAAGACACCTAGTACCAAAATCCGGACAATCCGAGACCCACTTTGAAATTTTTATTTGATTATTTTTTAAAGTTTATAAAAACCAAAAGAACATTTTTCTATTACGGAATATGACCGTCCTAATATTTCTTTTTAATGTAGAATTACATATAGTCCTTAAAGTATTACATAATGAATTTATTCCAAAGGGCCCGCCTAAAAATTTGCCAAGGGCCTCACAGTGTTGTTACGCCACTGTTGACAACATCAGGAAATATCAATTTTTCCTTATAAAACCTTATTTATATTAATCTTAATGCAGGCTAACACTATTGTAGTACAATATAGCCCTTAGGGGCTCAATAATGTATATATCAATATTTAATACGGACCAAGTTTACACGCACCCAATACAGACACTCCCGCAAGTTAATAGACCCTGTTTGACAATTATTGCTGGTAACTATGTTGATACAATTTTTTTTTTTAAAAAGGTTTTTTACCTCTCTGAAAATACACATAGCCATACTTAAAAGTTAAAAGAAATTCGTTACTTCCTGTAATGCATGGAAAAATATGATTCTACTGTGACCACTTGAAAACCATATTTACGTAAAATTTAAGTTTGATTGACAATATAAATAAGGAAAATATTTGTCTGTTTTTCTAACATTCTACTTGTTTTTAAATTATAAAGATCTAATATATGAAGAGCTACTCTGAAAAACGCAGTTTTTGAATTAAATAATTATTTTCAGGATGGAAATATCAAGAATCAAGAAATCAGAGTTTTTGTTAAAATAAAAATTCACTATAAGTTTATTTCAGGATGGAACAATCAAAAATCAAGGAATTAGAGTTTTTGTTTTTTTACTATAAGTTTTGCCGTTTCTGTATCTCTTTGAAAAAAATAGCGACTAGGTTTTAAACTTTTGAAAATTTTTCATAAACTGCGTTTTGCATGCACTCTGCAGAGTAGGGAGCCCCTCATATATTTTAAATTTCATAAATAAAAATCGTAATAAAGTTTTATTACCTGTTAACAGTCCTGTTCCGTCATTTCCCCACTGCCCCACACTGATGGCGCCCTTGTGCGCCTCGACGCTTCTTTCTATGCGTCCGGCCCTGTTGGCAATGTGAAACTTTCCATCAGCCGAAGTGATCAGAATAAGATCTCCATGTTTGCTTACTGATCCGCCACCTGATCTTGGCAAAAATTGCATGTCTGTTGGAAAGAGGTCTTTGGGCAGTTGGGCCACTTTTGTCGATTGCTGGGTAGAGACGGCCCATGATAGGAGCAAATTGTCATCTCTAAAATTAACAATACCAGGCGTCATGTAATGAGTTGTCATTCCTTAGGGGGATGATAGTTCTCGCAAAGTAAGAAAGTTTTTTCTCTATTACTTTTGCATAAGTGCTACTAAACAGCTGTCGACGTTTGAGGTAGTCGGCCGTTAAAATTATGGACAGCAGTACCGATAAGTACCTCGGTTAAACAACTGGCCGATTCTACTTAGTGCGTCGACCCCACAAACAAAATAGACTTGCCATGTCGAATATCGCTAACATGAAACAAGCGTGCCAAAAATCGGGGAATCGGCGCAAGGAAACGTATAAGAGAAGGATGTATTATGCCAGGACCGTATTAAATAATTTCGTACGAGCGATATCTTTTCAAAAATTTATTTTGTTTAACATTTAAATATTTGTAAGTACATATCGCACATGGGCGACAACAGTATCATAAGTAGTAAAACCTTAATTCCGAGATAATGACCTCCAAAGATTTTTGAAAAATAAAATTCTCACATACTTGTAAAATTATATTAACCTACCGTATTATTCTTTGCAAAGGAAGAACCATACTAAGATTCTAAGCCAGTTAAAAATTAGACTCTAAAAAATATTCTTTTTGTATAAGAGATATTTGTAGATATGACTGTGTTGCCGAAGAAAGTGTGCATCAATTTTGGAGATATGTCTGTGTTTCTGAAAATATGTGCATGAATTTTGCAGATGTGTCTGTATTGCTGAAAATGTGTTGATCATTTTTTTAATTGTTTATTCTTTTATTGCTGAGAATTTTAATTTTACTAACATACTTAAACAAAATTACTGTCACAAATTACTTATGACACTGTTAATAAAAATTATATTAGGGGTTAAACAAATTGCAGACAGGCACAAGTGTCCATCGAGGGATTAATTTCAAAAATATCTTTATGCCACTGTTGCAGCATAAACTTTGAGTAATTTTACATTTATTGCACTAAAAATCTCTAAAATGAGTTTAAATTTAAAAAAATAAAAATAATAAATGAAACGATAAGCCATTATAAATTCGCTAATCAAAAAGAAGGAAAATTAAGCTCTTAAAATTGAAACAAATTTAAAATTCTGTCAATTTTAAAATAAAAAACTGAACAAAACAGACAAATTTCCCTAAAATGTATTTAATAAATCCAAATGGATTAAATTTCTACCAAAAGCAAAAAAAAAGTATTATATTTAATATTATATTTTATTGGTGTATTTAAGCTGGAACTAGTTTCACTACGACTAGGACACACTGTAAAAAATTTGCAACTATGACAACTTATTACATGACACCCTTTATACAGGATAATAAATATAATAATAAGTATAATTATAGGATAAAAATAAAGATTAACCATTGAGTCAATGGATTAACTATGAAGGCGATAAGATTTAATGACAACACACTAGAATGAGGACATGGTAAAATGATACGAGAGGAAATAAATACAGGCTATATAACCATGGGCGGATTTAGGCATGGGCATTATGGGCTGCAGCCCAGGGCCCCGTCCGATCGAGGGCCCCCTACGCGATGCAAATATTTTTTTTTAAATATAAATCAGACTGATTGAAAAATCAACTATTTAATAGTTGCATAGAGGTAAAATATTGAGCCTGTTAAAATTTCAGCTCTTAATTTTATTATTAAGAGGCCCCTCATCTCATGTAAATAGCATGGAAAAAAAAATCTTGGAATTTATATATCTTTTTAACGGATTAATAGACTTAAATGAAAACAACATATTTTAAAAATATAATTTTAATAAATTATTTAAAGTAAACGCTCTACAAAGAGGTCTCTTATTATTTTATAATAAATATTCTTGTTAAAAAGTTATTCAAGCTTAAAATTACATTTATAGTAAGTTTCAAGTTTTTCTCACTTTTCCGCTAAAACTATCAGACTTATAACAAAAAGTTATAGGACTTTGGTAGATTATTTTATTTTTAAAAAAATTGTGTAATTTTATAATTTATAGCTCTACATGTAAAATCAGTACTTAACTGCAGTTACTGATTTTACAAATTAATAATTCTGATTAAAACACTAATTAATTTCAAAAAATATCAATTTTACTGCAAAAAATATTTGTATTTATACTGGTTAAACCAGTAAATCATAAATAAAACATAAAAAAATGCTGACATATTTTTATAGAAAATAAAATGATCTACAAAAAATGTATGATCATTAATGACAAAATGTTGACAATTGTCAACATTTTGTAACAATTCTGATTGTTTTACCGGGAAAGTAAGAAAAACTTAAAATTTGCTATGAATTTGTCTTAAGTCTTAAATAATTTTTAACGAATAAATTTATCATAAAATAATAAGTAAACTTTATTTAAATTCTCTAAAATCTTTATTTTTTTCTATAAAATTTATTAGCCTTATGAGTTACAATATCACCCATTAATATTATTGGTTGGTAATCGCGATTTTACTTTTAAATTAAGTAGGTACCTACATAAAAAAAAATTATTTTGGAATTATATAACTCGTTAACGGATGTATGGACTAAAATGATTATAACTTGTATTTATTCTCGGGACACCTAGTATAAATGCTGGTATGTTTTATTTATATTATTTACTTTATTTATGTTATTCATTTATTTTATTAAAAATAAGTGTTATTTTTTCTTGTTTTTTTATTATTAATTATTGATAGGCCCCCCAAAGAGTTTTAGCCCAGGGCCCCCAAAGTCAACAGTCCACCCCTGTATATAACAAGGTAAAATGAGACGAGCTAAAACAATAAATAAATAAATAAATAAATAAATAAATAAATAAATAAATAAATAAATAAATAAATAAATAAATAAATAAATAAATAAATAAATAAATAAATAAATAAATAAATAAATAAATAAATAAATAAATAAATAAATAAATAAATAAATAAATAAATAAATAAATAAATAAATAAATAAATAAATAAATAAATAAATAAATAAATAAATAAATAAATAAATAAATAAATAAATAAATAAATAAATAAATAAATAAATAAATAAATAAATAAATAAATAAATAAATAAATAAATAAATAAATAAATAAATAAATAAATAAATAAATAAATAAATAAATAAATAAATAAATAAATAAATAAATAAATAAATAAATAAATAAATAAATAAATAAATAAATAAATAAATAAATAAATAAATAAATAAATAAATAAATAAATAAATAAATAAATAAATAAATAAATAAATAAATAAATAAATAAATAAATAAATAAATAAATAAATAAATAAATAAATAAATAAATAAATAAATAAATAAATAAATAAATAAATAAATAAATAAATAAATAAATAAATAAATAAATAAATAAATAAATAAATAAATAAATAAATAAATAAATAAATAAATAAATAAATAAATAAATAAATAAATAAATAAATAAATAAATAAATAAATAAATAAATAAATAAATAAATAAATAAATAAATAAATAAATAAATAAATAAATAAATAAATAAATAAATGAATAAATGAATAAAATGTCGACAAGGTAAAATGAAACGAGCAGAAATAATGACAAGCTAAAATGACGATATACTTAATTGACTTTAATTTAAAATAAAAACGCTTTAATAAAGACGACCTAAAATGATCAATAAACTAAAATAACACAAGCTAAATGACCACAAGATAAAACGACGACTAGCTAACACGATGATGAGTATCATAAATATAATATTAATAAAACAAATAGTGTATCCGAAATTAGAAGCTCAATTTTTGTATCCTAAAATTTTACAGGTCACAATATGCTTCCAGCTAATCCATGGATTTCAATTATTGATAACACTGTGCAACAATTTAAGGGTCATCAAAAATTATCTGGATGTGGTCTGGATGGGACTATTTTTGTAGACCAAAACCCCCAAAGGATTTTGAAAAGTTAGCTCCACTTTAAAAGTTATGACCATTTAAAGTTTGATTGATAGTCTGTATCGACTTACTTCGGTAAAAGCCTAGTCATAATTTTTATTATAAATACTCATATTTTAAATGGAAAATTTTTGTTGATGATGTAATGAATTATCATTTTCTTAAAATTTAACATCGTTTTATACCTATTTATTTACCCATTTCAATTTTATAATTGTTTAATTCAAGGCAGAAATAAATAAAACGTATTTGAAAAATATATAAAAAATCGTATTAGATTCTATCCCTCTTGCATTTCCTGATAATTTCACTATCATAATTATCCTCGTCATCATCTAGATGATAAAATTATAAAGTCATCTAACAACTCTTCTGCTTGTTTTGCCCCCTTTCACCACCCGTCTGCTAATTGTACCATAAAAACAGAAAATTTTATGTTAATCAAACTTTGACCTCAAATAACTCTAGAAGAAATCAATTTATCGAAAAATAACAAGAGACTTTTTTGTAGAGCGTTACATTTTATATAAGAAACTGCAATGATCATTGCCATAAGTTACTTTCATACAGAGGTATAAAATTCCAAACATAAAATTATTGTTTTCCATGTTAACTAAATGGGAAACTAAAATAAAAACAAATCTCTAGATAATTCTCGTGTGCTTGCATGAGGATTAGCGGCCGTTGCTGCTAATACATTAATTTCATTATTTCCACCTGTGTCTGTTGCTCGAAGTCTTTTTTTCGGTTGAACACTCCCGTTTATAGTAAACTGCTTGACTGTATGGTAAAATGAAGTACGTGATCGAATTTTTTCCGGAAAACGCTGAGCGTAGATTTAACAGCATCATCAAGATTCCTGCCTGCTTCTCCATAAATCAAAATCATTTCTATTTTCTCTTCCACTATTAAAAAATCCATTATGAATAACTGCTTAACGAAAGGAGGTCTTTTTGTTTGCAAATTAATCTTGGAACTAAATTGATTAAATAATGCTAAACTATGTATAAATAGTTTCTTTATACCTCATTAATAATTATTATTTATAACTAAATACCATTTTTTTAATTTTAATACCTCAATTAGGATTAAATTAACTAAAATTAATTCACAAATTAATTTTTTTCTTACCTTAAATGAGGTATTTTTATTAAAAATAGTACAATAATCCTTTAAATTAAAGGATTTAATGCTGGCAGGTAAAGAGTGACCATGGTTGATAATTAATAAGATAATTATTACCAAAAAATATGATATTTTTATAGAAAAATTATTGCAGAATTGTATAAGAAGGAAAATCGAACAAAATTGTTTTTTTCATTAAAGCGCCATCTATTACAAATATAAACAAAAATGTTTTAGACAAAATCTACCTATTTTTAGTCGAATGATCCGAACCTGAAATAAAAAATAGGGTGTTCCATTGAAAATTCCACACCTGTAATTTTTAACCAATCAAAACGTGTATTTTTGACAGATCACCATGGCAACGGATAAATTTTAGTGGAAATTTTTTCCTCGTGGGTACCCAACAGCGAATTATACTGGAAATTTTTTTGACGTTTATAATGACAGAATATTTTTTTGACAATCTGGTTTTTATTTGTTTACATGATAATTTTGATACATTTCCATTACAAAGTTTAGATGTTTTCTATATTCGTTGGACACCTCCTTTCTTCTTAATGGCGAAAATGCAGGACTTGAAATAAATTAAATGTCTATGTCTAATGAAATATATATAATATTTAGACACTATTCTATTCACCTTTTTTTCCATTTAGCACTTTGAGTTTTGAATAGTTAAGATGCAAATATTCGTGAACAATTCAAACAAATTTTCTTTCTTCAAGTAGGAGCCACAATCCTCTAATAATGCGGGTAAATAAGTCATTGCACGATGACTGATCATTACAGCAGACAACTTCACATTTTTTTACGTCGTGCCGCTTGACAGCTTCAAAACTGAAATAACTTTTATGTTGGGGTTGACTTAGTTGCCATGGTAACTAAATAATCAAGTCGAGGACAAGTTAAATCAAAAAATAAATTTTAAGTGGAAGAACAGATGTTTTCTTTTAAACACGCTGAACTTCGCCGTTTGAAAATGTAAAATGTTTCAATAAAGACTTATATTATTATTATTATTAATTATTTAAACACAATTTGGTGTGGAATTTTCTTACCGAATACCACACGAGGTCAAATTAAACCGAAAATTTTTTCTCCCTCATGAATATTTTTAAAAAATTATCCCTCGTCTTCGACTCGGGATAATTTTCAAAATATTCATGAGCTCGAAAAAATTTCCGGAAATAATTTGACCTCTAGTGGTATTACTAGTGAAAATACCACCTGTTGCACCTATAAGGAGGAGAGTATGAGGACCAATTTAAGTACTGATTGATTTCCCCCCTCGAACAATTTAATTTTTATTTAATTTTTTTTTTCGTAAAATGGTTACTAACTGAGATATTTCAAGTTTCAAGTTAAATGACTCACCCTGTATAAGACCGTACTAGAAACAAACTAAATCTCTAACATAGAGATCTATGATCTCGAACTAACTCTATTAACCTTTTACGTTGTCAAAACTATCAATTTAAGGTTAAGAACTCATTAGAAACATCACTGAAAACAAAATTCACTTACCCAACGGAATAAACCTCTTCTGTGTTGCTCCACCCGATGCACGTCACTGGCGCCGCATGCGAGGGGCTCTGTGCAATGGATAGCTTAAATCTCATAATTTTAAATCTCAGGTGAACCCCGAAAAACACGACAGCAAAAAAATTCGCCAGATGTTTCACCTGAACAACGTACAGACTTGTGCTTTGTTTGTTTGTAACCGCGTTGCTATGGATACTAAATTCCAGCTGCACCGGGTATTAGGAAAATAGCGAAAGAATTGCATTGCTCGTTAGTTATTGCTGCTGTAAACAAAGAAAGGATTTAAAAAAACTAATTGCCAGATTAAATGAAGCTAGCAATGGTCAGGTTATTCACGAGAAGCATTTTTAGTTTACAATATAACATAACATAAATAAGGATTTTTATGTAAATTCAATAAGCTTCCATGTCATATTTATGTAGGTATGTCTAAATATATTAGTTTTTACATTGGAAGTCTAACAACATAATGGAAAAGTGGATTACCGCAGGAAGAAGTGAAAAATAACTAGTGTACACACTCTCCCCTTGACAAGTGATATCCAATATAATTTCGGATTCAATATGGTTTGAAATATGAGCCCCTGTAAGAACTGATAGTGTTTGGTATTACCATAATATTTTTGGACGTTGTTATAAAAGGGAGACCAATACACTAACTCACACCCTTGAAATTCATCCCTTGTTGGCCAGAAGGTGATAGTGAACCACAATGCATTACAAGACCTGAATTCCTAAACAAAATAAAATGGAAAGTAATATCAGCTTTTCTTCATCATTGTCTTAATAAAATGTTGCTATTCAATTCATTTAAAACCCCGCATAAGTTGTCAATCAATTTGCAAATTCGGAAATTGCTTACACAGAAACAATTTCTTAGAAGAAAAAGTGCATTTATATGTAGGGGAGAATAGGGTTTATCGCCCCATGATTTCGTAAGTTAGAGTGGTTCTTTTTGTATTAAGATTTCAGGTTTTCTTATACTGTTACATTCACAGAAACAAGTAACGCCCTTACTAATACTCTTAGATGTTTTTAAATAATAATTATTTAACGTATCCAATAGTGATTAATACGTTCTTTGAAGTTGTGCAAGATTTTAAATTAATTTCTTGCTTGAGTAAATCAAAGTACTTTTTATGTTAGAAAGAATGTTTAAAATTGAATTAGTAGTCATGTGCAACGCGTCGCTAAGAGAAATTTCTTATTGATAATCAGTTTTTTTTATTGACAACGACTGATAACGAACAAATCACAACACAACGTCCACATGACGTTGAACGTTGCAACGTTACCATGGTCTCTTAGATTTTAAAGTGGTTTATCCCTCGGTCCTGACATTTCTAAATGTATTTTACGTTTATAAACATTTATAAAAAATACAACCCGCATTTTGTCTACGTACACTAAAAACATGCAAATAACTTTTTATATTTAGAGAAAGTTAAGATGACGATGTAAAAAGTCATTAGAAATGGTCAGATAAGACAATGGTTTCCATTGAATGGCTGAAATTCAATTTATCAAGTTGAATAAAAGACATTACAATTAATTGCAATTCCACGGTGTTAAGTAAGGTGGGCGTTGTTGAAAATGTCAAACATGCATTTGTAAATCATTAGATAAATTATGAATGGGTCACATTTTCGTATTGTTCTGGGAGTCCATAATTGTTATACCGGCTGACAGCGAAATGTCGTAGCGGTGTAGTGGAGTACAAGTAACAATGGGAGACAATTCATTAGATCTACCGGGGAGCAATTGAGGGTGTTTCGAGGGGTGGCCATGACGAGGGACGTTCTTGGTCCGACTTTTATTTATTCAGTATCGTCTAAATTTTACTTACTCTTGCAGGAAAATTTATCATTATTTGATGATACTGAACTTTTTATGTAAAATATGATTTTTTTGAGTCATTCATATGTCAATTCTTAACATCTATCTCTTACCGTTCTCGTAACGTACGTCTCTTGTAAAAATATGTTTATCATGCTGTAAGAGCCCTATCAAAATATCAGCTCGATTAAAAATTTTTTATGGGTCGCACAAGATTTTTAAAAATTTTCAAAATCGTTAAAAATTGAATTTTTCTTATTTTAATTTTTTTTCTCGTCTCAATATTATTTTTTAGGTTGAAAATAATAAAAATTCTGTAAATTTCAAATCAATATTTTTGATTTCTAAAGGTCGCTAAAAGTTCATTGATATTTATATTCAGAGGTCGCTCGAAAACATTCAAAATACTCTACTTGGAAAGTTAAAAAAATATTGAGCGACCTTTGAATCGATTTGAAATTTTTAGAATCATTATTATTTTCAAATTAAAAAATAATATCGGAACGAGAAAAAAAATAAAATAAAAAAAAATCCAATTTTTGACGATTTTAGAAATTTTTTAAAATCTTACGACCCCAAAAAAATTTTTAATGGAGCTGATCTTTTGCCAGGGCTCTTAAAACATGACAAATCAACATATAAGAGACGAGAAAAAAAATATTCTTTTTTTTGGGCCACCCTAATATTGGACAAAAGTAAAGCAACAACTGTATAAAAAATCCAATTCCAAAACGCCTTTATTATTCTTTAAGAAATTTTGGATAAAAATACTTGAACTTAAATCTCAGTTTACGTGTTTAAGGGTTTTTTGAGAAAATATTTTTAAAGCCCATTTTTTTAATATTAAAAAAACGTTCGAAAAATAACTTTTACGAAAATTTTTTTTCAAGTAAATAAAAAATATTCTGTTAATGACCGTATTTTTGTTAGTATACTCTAAAAATTTTGTACAAATCAAATGAACAGTAACGAAGATACAGCGCTTCAAAGTCGGTAAAAATGACCCTTTTTTGATTATTTTGCTGAAAAGTGGTCATTTTTACAAAACCAAAAATTCCAATTTTGTATTGTGGCTCTAATAATTTGATCAACCACTGTAATACAATATGTACACATATATATATATGCTTAATACACTTGATGCAACATTCAATGTAATATGCCACATATAGTTAAAATAAAAAAAGAAAAAACTCTATTCAAGGAAGAAACATATCTATAATGGGCGTTTTAGTGGAACTACAAAAAATACTTCATTATAGAAGTATAATGATATTTTAAAACGATATTAAATGAGGTATCAGTAAAATTGCAAAAAAAAATTTAGAATAATCTTCGAAAAATAAAACTCGTAATGTAAATTGTTTTTGTAAATTCTCCGGCACGACGCGGACATAAAAATCCGGTAAAAATGTGGGAAATGCTCAACCCCAGTGCAATTTGGTAAAAAACTCCGTCCCCAGAAAAAAATGCCCTTCGGTTATTTGGAGAGTGACTGACTGCACGCATCATCCGGAACGGATCTGAAAAATTTAATCCGAACAAACACACACAATATAGGCTGAAGAAATGCGGCGCGCCGTGCGAACGGAAACATTATTAAATTGACGCGTTGGGGTTTTTATGCACTCTATATTTTCAGGGGGGCGTTCCAATCACTTTGAATAATAAAAAGTATATAAAATACAAACATTTACGTATTGACTAAACTAAAATTAAAACATTGTTAAATTTAATTTTAACTTTGTTATAGGTAATACAAAATTTTGGTGTATAAAAAACTAATAGAAAATGAATGAACTTAAATGAATTATTAAAATCAGTGTATATTAAGAAAATACATAAAAATAAAATATTAACTTTTTTTTACAAAATCCAATTATTTTTATATTTCAAGCAAAAATTAACTAAAAAAACAAAGTTTTTACATAAATCAAAAAAAAAATATAGATAATAATAATTATACAGAAAATTACCCTTTTATATATGCCTACAAGACAATTATCACTTGATTACAGCGATTATTTTTTTGACAGTTCTCTGTATTGTTGGGACATTGTTGAGGCATTGTTGTTGAGGGAACCTACAGCGAATTACAGCGATAATTCATTTTTCATGTTGATTTTAATTGTTTATTAATTAACCTATGTCAAAATTTTGATTTGATGTTTAAGTGAATATCGTGAATTTAATTCCAAAATGAGTCGCTTTGGGGCTGTACAGTTACAAGATATCGACCAGGCGGTGAAGGATAATCGAAAAGCCAAGCATCCATATGGCGACAATTTAAAGAGTTTTGTAAATTAAAAAAATACTAAATTCTGGAAAACACGTCTGAAGGTGAATTGGCTAAAATATTACTGGATTGGGCATTTAATATGAAAAAAATAAACGGTACAGACTATAAAGAAGGAGTAATTGCTACAGGAAAAATTGTAAAAAGAGTTTAATAGAGCCATAAATCCTTTTGAAGATATAGCTTTTAAAATAATCTTATGAATACCATTCGAGCTTTAAATTAAAATCGGTTAATTGCCTCTTTATTCCTGCATAGTGACGTCGAATCGTGTCAATTTGACAATGAAATTCCGACAGCCCGCAGGGCTTTCAATTGTTTTCAAATTGACACTCTTCTCCCGTCACTATGCAACAACAAATCGGAAATTAACCGATAAATTTAAAGCTCTTGTGGTATTATAGCCGATAATTGTCTACTAGGAATCGATAATTCAATTGTATCTACGTATCCATGGCAATTAATAAAAATAACGTCATGACGTTATTTTTATTAATTAAACTGCAGTTTTTATTTTAATGTGACAGTTAAAATGTCACGTTTTGGTAAAGAATCCTTTGAATCAATTAATGAAAATGTGAAAAATAGTGTTAAAATATTTAAAAATGTTATTCTTTGATGTAATTAGTTTTTTCTTGTAAAAATCAGAAAAATCAGATAATGCTGCATTCAAACATATTGCCTTTTAAAAAATGCAAAACTCATTTTTTAGGCAATATGCTTTCAAGCAAAATTACCGATAATTTTTAAGCACTTGTGTAATTACCCCCGATAATGTTTATTTTTGTTATAAATTTGCTTATTGAAGCCTGCTGTTATATTATGTTCCACTATGATCCAATATAAGTTCTATTTGTAATTAAAAGCAAAAAATAGTTTCACCCAATTGTTTATTTTTTAGTATTTTATTACAATATCTACATAATAATTATAACAAAACAAAATTTATATTTAAACATAGTTGACTATTTTGGTTATTGGGTCATAATGACTAAAATAAAAAAAGGAAAAATGTTTGGTTTTATTAAAA